AATAACCACAGGACAATTAGCATAGCCAACATCTGAATTTTATTGTTTCTTTTTGTTGGGAAATTTCAAAATACTCTTTTCTAGTACTTTATAAAATATACCATTAATTATAAACTATAGCCACTCTACTGTGGCTTAGTTCACTAGAATTTATTACTCCTATTTAATTGTACTTTAATACTCATTACCCAACTTTTTCATATTCTCCCCTACTCTTACATTTTTAGTCCTTTATTATTTTACTCTCAATTTCTATAAAATCAACTATTTTAGATTTCACATATTACTGAAATCATAAAATATTTTAGTACTACTATGCTTACTTCAATAAATATTAAGATATCTAGTTCCATTCTACTCATAGAAGATGACAGCATTTTATTTTTTATGTATGAATAATATTATTTATGTATTAATCTGTTGATAGATACCCTGTTGATTCTATATATTGAGGGCTTTTTAAATAGTGGTACAATAAACATCCAGTTGCAGTCATTTATTTGATATATAAATTTCATTTTCTTTGGATATATATGCAGGAGTGTGATTATTGAATCTTATAGTAGCTCTACTTCAAACTTTCTGAGGAATCTGCCTACCTTTTTAGGCAATCTTTGTACTAATTTACATCCCTAAAAAAATTGTAGAAAGTTGCTCTTTTCCTTCACCCTTGTCTATATTTTTTGTCTTTTTTATAATGAACATTCTAATGTGAGTGATGTGATGTTTCATGTGGTTTTTATTTGCATTTTCCTAATAATTAGTGGTATTGATGTTATTGATGTTTACATATATATATTGACCATTTTAATGTGTTGGGTTTTTTTTCTTTTCTTTTCTTTTCTTTTTTTTTTGTACCAGAGATTGAACTTGGGTCCTTGTGTTTGCTAAGCAGGTGGCAGAACAATTAAGCTAAATGCCTGGCCCTAGGATAATTTATTTTTTAATGAGAGACCTTTTTTTGTTTTCTTTGTCCTGTTCAATTTTTTGAGTTCTTTTTTTTTCTCTCTCTCATTGAATTTATTGGTACATTTTAGGTATATACTAAAGTTGCATTCATTATTGGGATCTTGTACCTTTACATGACAGGTCTTGATTCTCATTTTTTCCCCTCGTCGCTGCCCTCCCTTCACCCCTCCCCGCTTCCCTATTTACAAATACTTATGTGTTTACTCTTCTTTTTTTTTTGTGCAGAAGTGTCTTAGTTTAGAAGAATCTTTTATGAATACTTTTGCTTTTGTTAGTTTTGCATTTTGGGTCTTATCTAAAAAATACAATTGTCAAATTGAGTGGTGCATTTTCTCCATGTTTTCTTGTAGTATTTTTATAGTTTTGTATCTTATACTCAAGGCTTTAGTATACTTGGAGTTGATTTTTCAATTAGTGAGAAATGTAAGTCTTATTTACCTTTTGTGTGTAAATATCTAGTTTACTCAGGATCATTTATTGAAAAGATTGTCCTTTTTCCAATGTATGTCTTTGCTGTGTATGTTAAAGAGCAAGTTGCCATAGGTGTATGGACTTATTTTTACTTTCTCTATCATTTTCCAGTTATCTATTTGTCAGTTTTCAAGTCAATAACATTTGTTTTTGTCACTAGTCCATTGTATTCTGCTTTACACTCATTTTATGATACCACTAGCTTTATTCTTTTTGTTCATACTTGACTTGGCTATTCAGGATCTTCTTTGGTTCCATATAAATGGCAAGATTGTTTTTCTTTTTGTTTTTTCTATTCTGTGAAGAATATCATTTGTATTTTGATAGATGTTGCTTTATATCCAGAAACCATTTCAGAAAGTAGGAGAATTTTAAAATTTATTATTCTTGTCCATGAACATGGGATATCTTTCACCATCCAAAGCAGTTACACAAAGAAAGAAATGAAAATTACCCAAACAGCAAAGAAGAAACTCTATACTTATTGCAGATTTTATAACTTTTTATAGAGAAATTTCTAAATACCACACACATGCATACACACACATACACACACACAAACACACACACACAAATGCTGTTAGAACTGATACACAAATTCAGTAAAGCTGTGGGATAGAAGATCAACAGATACAAATCAGCTCTTAATTACCCAGATTTCTCTACTGTCAGAACTATGGGAGGCTGAGGCAGAGGAATCTCAAATTTGAGCCCGATCTAGACAACTTAGTAAAATATATTCTCAATACTTAAAGAAAGGAAAAGGAAAGGAGGTAGGGATGAAGTAAGTGTGAAGGTAACATATCCAATCACTGATATCATAAGAAGAAGAGGGAAGAGTAGGAAGAGGGGTAATAATCAGTGGAATATTTATAAACTAATAATTAATGACACAATATCACATCAAGAAAGAAAATTCATTCATAATAGCTACAAAAAACTTGAGAATTAATTAAATCAAATAAGTGCATGATCTCTATAATGAAAAATGTCACAAAATACTGATGAAAGAAACTGAATAGGTGTAGACAAAATTTCATCTTCAATTAAAGCCAATGAATTATAATTTATGTGATGAGTAATAGCAATTACTATCAACATTTGCAATTTAAATTTTGAATATGGACTGTGTGTTATTTTTTTTATGTATATTTTCTGGTTTTCTGAGACAGGGTCTCACTATGTAGTTGAGACTGACATGGAGCTCACTGTGCAGCCCAGGCTGGTTTCAAACTCCCAGCGATCCTCCTGCCTCAGTCTCCTGAGTGCTGGGATTGAGGCCAGGCCTGTGCCACCATGCCCAGCCCAATGTGATAACATTTGGAAGATCTGCTTATAAACTGTACAAGTTTGCATTTG